CCTTCCTTCCTTCCTTCCTTCCTTCCTTCCTTCCTTCCTTCCTTCCTACCTACCTACCTACCTACCTACCTTCCCCCCATGTCAGTCTACAGGTAATCCTTGAATTACAAGTATAGACTACAAATTACCATGGGGCTGAAAAAAGTGACAAGTCTTGGCACTTATGACCATCTCAGCGTCCTGATGGTCACGTGACACAAATTGGGCCCTTGGCAACAGGCATATATTTACAGTGGCTGCAGCGTCCAGGGTCACATTTACAACCATCTCGGGGTGCTTCCAACAAGCAAAGTCAGTGAAGGAAGCCCAAGTTCACTTAATGAAACTGATGATTCGCTCAAGAACCACGACCAAAAAAAAAAAAGATTTAAAATCAGGTGAGACTCACTTAATGACCACATCATTAGTGATGGCATGGTTTTTTTCTTTGAATGGTGTGGTGGCCTAGAGGTGGCGCTCTCACCTCCCAATCAGGAGGTTGTGAGTTCGATCCTAAGTAGAGGCAGATATTTCTCTGGGCTAGATTGGAGTATATTTGCTGAAAAAAGAACCTTTGCATTGGAGACAGGAAGAGCATCCGGCCAGTAAACCCTCAGCTCCATTCAGTTGCCTAGATTCCACCCAGCAAAGGATTATGGGGTCATTAAAAGATGATGATGATGATGATGATCTATGTCATGTTCTTAACAGAAATATAAAAGTGATCTGAGGATGATTTTAGTCTGAGCAATCTTCAGATTTTAGTCTGAAGTCTCTCTTTCAAACATTCACCAAGCAGCCTAACCCTGCAGGAAATCAGCAAAAATCATCATTATGCAGATCAGACTATCCTGCAGAGTAAGAAAGAAAAAAAAAAACATCCCAAGCCATGCTTCAAAGTCATCTTTGAGGGGGGGGGCAATGCAATTTAATAAATTAGTTTAAGGCTTTTTTTAAAAAACAAACAAAACAACCATGATTGTACAGCATGAAAACGTACTTGGAATATAAATTCAAGTAAATAGGAAATGCTAAAAAAAACCTGCATTATGTCTTCCTTGTGCCTGCTGCCCTCGTTGACAAAAACAACATAAAAATGAACTTTCGACTGAAGAAGAGATCACAGGTGGTTCTTTTAAGCTCAGAAATCCCCGAACACAAGAAAGCCGATCATTTAACCATCCCAAACCTTCACAGGAAATCCAACAAAACTCTAAAAATAGGTCGGGGTTCTCAACCTTAGGTCAGCCAAGATTAGACTACAATGTCCCCTGTTCCAGAAGATCAAGCAGGCGAATGGGATTGTAGCCTATGGATACGGAATCATAGAACTGGAAGGGACCTCAAAGAGGTCTTCTTGTCCAACACCCCCTCCCCCACTCAAGGCAAGAGATTCTTTCTACCATCCTGGTCAAACGGAGGTTCAATCTCTTCTCACAAACCTCATCAGAGCATCCACAATTTTGGGAGGCAAGCGATTCCATTGATTCATTGTTCCCACGGTCAGGAAATTTCCCCTTAGTTCCTCTTTAAGGATCTTTCACCCATTACTTTTCGTCCTGCCTTCCAGTGCTTTGGATAATAAATCAATCCCTTCTTCTCAGTAACCATCCCTTAATTACTGTTCTCCTCAAGTCTTCTCCTTTTTGGACTAGACATACCCAGTACCTGCAACTATTCATCATACAAACGCCCGTAGAGATTCTCAGTCCTCCAGGTTGTGATTGTCCCAAAGGTGGGTTTTTTTCAGGAGGCAACTGGATTTTCTTGTTTTTTTCTTTTGAAGATGTTTCGCTTCTCATCCAAGAAGCTTCTTCAGCTCTGACAGGATGGTGGGAAATGGAAGGATTTATATTCCTTGCAGAAAGCTGGTCATTTGCATCCTTTTGGAGGGTCATTGAGGTCACTTGGAGGTTTATCTGAGTCCTCAGGGTCACCTGAGTTAGTGCTCCTGGTTCTTGTAGTCTGCAATTTTTTCCTCTGGAAATCCATTCCTACTCCCACACCATTCCAAGGGTGTCCATCCCAAATTGTATAGCTAAAAGTCTGTAGAGATTCTCAGTCCTCCAGGTCATGGTTGTCCCAAAGGTGCTTTTTTTTCAAGAGGCAATTGGACTTTCTTGTTTTTTTTTCTTTTGAAGACGTTTCACTTCTCATCCAAGGAGCTTCCTTCCTTCCCTTCCTTCCAAGCTTCTTGGATGAGAAGCGAAACATCTTCTAAAGAAAAAACAACAACAGGGAAGTACAGTTGCCTCCTGAAAAAAGTACCCTTGGGGTCATTCAACATATAATTTAACTGCCCAGAATATCATTGGGTTCCAGCTACCAGCCCTGGACGACATCTTTGCATCTTACTGTTTGAGGAAGTTGCACAACAGTCTTAGAGACTCTTCCCATCCTGCTCACAATCTTTGTGAAACTGTTGCCTTCTGGCAGAAGATAAAGAACCATTAAAACTTGGTCCACACGTTTTCTGAACAGCTTTGATCTCAGAGCTATAATTACACTTAACAATGAACTTAAGGACCATCATCAGTGAGCTGTTGGACAGTATTATTTGGTCTGTTGTGTGGATGCTTGCATGTTTTTAGGGGATGGGGAATTTTGGTGGGGTGTGTGTGTGTTTGGGGATTGTCATGTGTGTATGTGTGTTGGGCCTGGTCTCTGGGTGTTATGTGAATTTTATTGTATGTGTATGCTGTGTATATAAGTACAATGACAATAAAGAATTCAATTCAATTCAATTCACCTTCAGACTCCTCACCATCCTTCTTCTTCTTCTGCATTCTTTCTAGGGACTCAACATCTTCTTTTTTTTCTATCATGGTGTCCAGAATTGGATGCACTATTCCAAGCGTGGCCTCACTAACACAGTTTGGAGGGGTACAATCACTTCTCGTGACCTTGAAACTGTTCCTTTCTCGATATCTGGAGAGCAGCCCTCATAAATCATTATCTTGACATGCTCCTCAGTTCTTTCATTTCTCACCTCTTTCATGGTGGTTTCCGTCTCTTCGATACACTGGACATGGTCCCTCCAGAACGCCGTCCCATTCAGCAGCACCCAATTCCCGTCAAGCCCACATTGGCGGCTCACAACTCCATGTTTAACTGCAAACACAAATAGCCAGAATCATCAAGGACTCTACATCTGTCTGTTTGATTTTCACCCCTTATCCTAGACAGAAAAGGAGTTAAAGACAGAGATGATGAGGGGAATGGAGGCTAAAACATACAGTGAATGGTTGCAGGAACTGGGCATAGCTAGTCTAGGGAAGAGAAGGACCAGGGGAGACATAAAATAGAATAGAATACAGCTAGAAGGGACCTTGGAGGTCTTCTAGTCCAGCCCCCTGCTCAAGCAGGAGAACCTATACCATGTCAGACAAGTGACTGTCCAGTCTCTTTTTAAAAACCTTCAGTGACGGACATCAGTGTTCCAATATTTGAGGGGCTGCTGCAGATAGGAAGGGGTCAAGCTATTTTCCAAAGTATCCGAAGGCCAGACAAAGAATAATAGAAACTGAACAAAGAGAGATTCAACCTGGAAACAAGGAGAAACTTTCTGATAGTGAGAGCAATCAACCAATGGAGCAGAAGTTGCCTTTGGAAGTTGTGGGAGCTTCATCACTGGAGGCTTTCAAGAACAGACTGGACTGCCATCGGTCAGAAATGGTGTAGTAGGATCTCCTGCATTGGCAGGGGTTGGACTAGAAGACCTACAAGGTCCCTTCCAACTCTGTTAAATCTGTTAAATCTCTAGGAGTTCAACCCTCACAGATCCATGCAGTGTCAATTCCCATGACATGGGTAATGGGGAGAGAGGGGTTGTCTGGACCAGATAACTGGGTTAAGGTTCCCGTGCAACTGATTAATCTGCAACAATCCAATTAGATGTGCTCTGTAAGCAGGATCTTTGGGTCATTAAAAGGGAGTTTTGCATTAGTCATCCTCTTCCCACCTGAGACTCTCAAGAAGACAGAGTGGGAAGCAATGAAGAGAGGGCAAGATTGCACGCGGGAACACACAACTCGCGTGACCAGAAGTCTCAGGAATGCCCATATTGGTTAGGAAATCTTGGGCAGTGAAGTTCCCCCCAGCTTTTAAGGGCAACTCAGATTAGAAGAAGGCTGTTTTTTGAAGAGTCCCACCAAGAGGTTCAAACATCTCAAGAACTTTAGAAGGTAGAAAGGCTCAGCCTCCTTCACACAACTTTTATATTTATGAGGATCCACATGGGACCAAAAAAAAAGGGCATGGTTAGAATCTTTAAGAGATCCAAACTGCTATATTTTGTGGGTTGGTTGACAGATACACACAACATAAACACTCTGTTCTGTTAAGTCTACAATAATCTGCTTTTCTTCTTATAGTCACCAGATGGAGCAGTTATCGAAGATTAATGCCTTACTGAGTAGCCCAGAAAGGATGGAGGACTATCCATTATTCTCTCTGTGATGTCTGGAGAATTCTGGGAGTTGATATCCAGTAGATTTTTTTAGATTATTTCATTAGTTCAATTTGAGTGATGCCCAGCTCCAACCAACTCTATCAAAAGACACCAGGTGATGATGTAAAGCAGAAGCTGGCAGAAGATGGGTTAGGGTGTTTTGGCAGACTGTTCCTTGCTGAAGTTTAATGCATTGTTTTGTTAGATTTTCATGGAGCCAAACAATGCAGAGCAGTTAGACAAAAGTTAGACTGGATGATCATTTTATAATATGGATGTTACGGACTAAAGGATTGATTTTGATTTTATTTTACACATTCGTATTTTTTCATTGAAAAAGGAGGGGATGAAACAAACTAACTTCAGGGTACCTAGGAAGCAATCTACTTGGGATACTTTGCTGATCCCTTTCCGAGTGCCCCCAAATCCAACCTTACTTACCTTTCTCATACCAGGGTAGATAGAAAGGACAAGATACATTGACAATAGCTCCTGGATTCCCATCTGGCCAGCATGCATACATATCAAATGTCCGGTTGCAAAAGAGGCCTGCAAGGCACAGAAACAAGACTGGTTGGGTAGGATGACCATGATTTAACTGGGTATAAGACTGGAATACCCACAAGCATCTTAAGTGTTCACAGTCAACAGTATCGATATCATGAAACTCTCTACGTTTATTCGTTCAACTATTTGTTAGTTCCTGGACTAAATGTTGCATATACCATGGACAGCCACAGCAACCGACAAAGAGGTGCTGAATCATATAAAACCAGGTACATCACTAGTATCCAAAATCACAAGACTATGTCTGATTTACTTTCGCCATGTCATACATGTCAATTCATTGGAGAAGTTAATGATGTTAGGAATGATTAGTGGAACAAGAAGAAGGGTGCAAGCAAAGAACACATTGGCTTTGGCTCAAAACTGATACAAAGATGAACATCCAACAACTGAAAGAAGCTGTGTTTGATAGGGTAGCATAAAGCAGTGGGCTGGGGACCACTGGTGGTCCGTAAGAAAATTTCGGTGGTCCACAGAGAAATATCACCCCCAAAGCAATTAATCCAGGTTGCATGGGAACACAAGGCTGTGCTGCCCACATGGCCCGTGGGAACACAAGGCTTGTGTGGCTTGCATTGTGAACAACATGAGGTACTGAGGGGAGGGGGGAAAGGGTGGAGTGGGGGGGGAACTTGCTCCACACGCCCCATGCGCCTCACCTGGCCACCGGGCTGTTTCTTTCCACTTCTTTCTTCTTCTGCTTTTGGCTGCACGCAAGGAAAGCAGCAAAAGTCTTTCTTTCTCTCCCCAAAACTCCACCAGAAATGAGTCTTTGGGACCCTGCAAGGCCTCCTGCTCCAAGAGGCTGCGCCAGTGTGACAAGTCGCACAAAGACTAATATCTGTCAGAGTTTGGGGGAGAGAAAGGAAGACTTCTGCTGCTTCTGCTGCTTTCCTTGCATGAAGCCAAAAGTCTCTGTTTGTCCATCTGTCTGTCTGTCTTTCTCTCCCTCCCTCCCTCTCTTTCTCTCTCTCTCTCTCTCTCTCTCCCGCTGAGAACGGAGCTGGAGAATGATTGATTGGTAGGAAAACGGGGTGGGGAATTTTCCTGCAGTCTTTTTTGGGGGGATTTTCCCAGGCTCTCTGGTCCACAGGATTTAAATTTATGAGTTTGATAGTCCCTGAGGTCCAAAAGGTTGGCGACCCCGGCATAAAAAACACTTGCCTATAAAATCGCCAAGAGTCAGACTTGACTGAATGGTTAAAACAACAACATACATTCATTCATTCATCTAGGTATGTCTTGTCTAATGAAGAGAAGGACTAGGGTTGACATGATAGCAATCTTCTTGAAGTACTTGAGGGGCTATCACAGAGGAGGGGTCAAAGTACCTGAGGGCAGGAGAAGAAGTAATGGGTGAAAGAGAGATCCAACCTAGAACTAAGGAGAAATTTCCAGACAGTGAGAACAATTAATCATTGCGCTGGCTCGCCTCCCAGAGTTCTGGGTGTTCCATCACTGGAGGTTTTCAAGAAGTTATTGGATAGCCATTTGTCTAAAACAGGGGTCTCCAACCTTGGCAACTTTAAGCTTAGAGGACTTCAACTCCCAGCAAAGCTGGCTGGGGAATTCTGGGAGTTGAAGTCCTCCAGGCTTAAAGTTGTCACGGTTGGAGACCCCTGGTCTAAAATAAAGGGTCTCATGCTTGAGCAGGAGGTTGGACTAGAAGACTTCCAAACTCCCTCCCAACCCTGTAATTTTACTCCCAAGACACCCTTGTTTCTATGACTGACAGTTCACCAATGATACAGAGCCTCACCTGAAGGATAAGGATCATTTGCCATCTTCTTCATACATTCATCTTTATATCTCAACCACTGGTCAAATGTCTTCTCTAGAATCTTTGCGCTGCAACTCTGCATAAAACCACACCTTTGTTAATCCTGTCAGAAGCACAATATTCAGAGCATACTAGCACTATCTAGATTTCATCCCCTCTGCTTCCCTTTTGCTCTCTAAGTCCATGTAGTTCTGGGGTATAGAACCTGCCCTCTTTGCTCTAAAACAGGGGTGTCCAACCTTGGCAGCTTTGAGACCTGTGGACTTCAACTTCCAGAATTCCCCAATCAGTCAAAATCCATTCAACAGTTGACTTCTTCTGAGTGAGGAAAGATCACGTCACATAATGTAATGTGTTCATTTTATTCACGTCCGCTATGTGCCTCCAGCCTTATTTCTGTACTGATAGAAAAGACAGTCTTTCTTAGACAAAGGGAAGGAGGAGTCCACTCAACACTCAGGTTTGACCATGTGTGAATGGAGACCAACTCTTTCCTTCTTTTGGGAGAAGGACTAAAATCCTCATCTGGGATTTAGAATTAAGGAGGAAGATCTCCACTTGCTTCTAAAATGGTTCCTATTAGCGGACTTATCTCCTTTCAGTCTCTTTTGTTTTAATGAAATTTAACAAAAAAATGTCTAATGAAAAAAAAAATGTCTAATGAAATCTAAACATTTGCTGTTTTCTATTAAAGATGTAGTATTGAGCGTCTTATTTTTCTTCAATGAAAAACAGTTGGAAAAGTCATCCAAGAAAGTCCATCTAACCCACCAGGTATGCTTTCTGCCCAATTGATACCATTAAATTTCACTTCTCCCCAGCTGAATTCTACCTCCTTTCACAACATATCCCAGGAGGCTTAAGAGCTCAGTCAATTGTGGATAGGAAGTCCTAGTGCATCCAGTAGAATTCTGTAGGAGAAAAGCAGGCAGAGCTAGGAGGGCAGAATTAAACGTGTCATCAGTTTGGAGTTATTGCGTTGCCACAAGAGATCCAAGCCCTGAATTCTTATCTGGTGCCAATTTAGTGTTGAACTTTAGTTGACCAGATTCTTATGTGTAGGCTTGAATAAATCTTCTATATTGCAACCTAATCTAGTGGTCCTGATTCTTTACACCTGACACATTTCCCGGGAACAAGGCAAATTCTTGCTATCTACTGATCTGACCTTCTTACCTCCATTAAGATGGAGCTCATCAAGAGGAAACCAATTTCTTTTGTTATATGATGGCAGAAAAGCACATCCTTCATCCTGAGCCACAACCTCGGGGCATGAATCACTCACCCAACTATGCTCCTGATGTCTCTCTAAAATAAACGAAAAAATAGAAGAAAAACATTTTAAAAGGCTGCGCTGGCATTAAAAAGTTTCAAAGCTGTCCCACTAGACCTGGGATATTGAAGCTGGGCAACTTTAACCACTTGTGGACTTCAACTCCCAGAATTCTCCAGCCAGCTTAATTCCCCCCCTAGAAGAAACCATAGCTTCCTTTATGGATGCAGGATTTCAAGACGATGTGGGTTCGGAGCTCAACGATCAGACCCAAAGGTTCTTGCTGTTGTTTTGCCACGTGCAAAATCCTGTTGGATACGGGTCTCAGTACTCTGACTCCATATTTCCCACTTGGCTGGGATCCCCTGTGGAAATCCATTCAAGCGATGGAAATTTTAATCCCAAAGAGATGCTTAGTTCATTACTGCAACGCAGCGTAACACTGATCTGTCAAACATCAGAATTCCACACAAGGAAAAACTTTTCGTTCAGGAGCTTTGCCAGTACAGTTGCAACGGGGTTAGGGGTTACCCATCCATCTGAATAAAACTGAAATAGTTACTTAGTTCTACTGAAGGAATAAAACAGGTATCTGAACCAAGTTCTTCAAAATTTCACTGCCTCTGAACTCAAGTGGAGAGAGAAGGTAGTTGATAGATGATATAGATAGCAGATAGATAGATAGATAGATAGATAGATAGATAGATAGATAGATAGACAGACAATAGATAAATGATAGATGACAGATTGATGATGGATGATGGATGGATGATAGGTAATAGATGATAGATAGATAAATAATAGATAGATAAATGATAGATGATAGATTGATGATGGATGATAGGTAATAGCTAGATGATAGATAGATAAATAGATAGATAGATAGATAGATAGATAGATAGATAGATAGATAGATAAGACAGATGATAGATGGATGATATGTAATAAATAGATATAGATAGATAGATAGATAGATAGATAGATAGATAGATAGATAGATAGATAGATAGATAATAGATAGATAGATAGATGATAGAGAGAGAGAGAGAGAGAGAGAGATGATAGATAGATAGATAGATAGATAGATAGATAGATAGATAGATAGATGATAGATGATAGATAGATGATAGATAGATGATAGATAGATGATAGATAGATGATAGATGATAGATGATAGATGATAGATGGATGGATGGATGGATAGATAGATAGATAGATAGATAGATAGATAGATAGATAGATAGATAGATAGAGATAGATAGATGATAGATTGATGATAGATGGATGATACTGTATGTAATAGATGATAGATAGATAGATAAAATAGCAGATATATAGAGAGATAAATGACAAATGATGGAATTGATGATAGATACAAGTAGGTGGAGAGAGATAGAGACATGGAGAGATCTTTAAAAAGAAAACATCAACTTGCATGAGGAGCCTGGCATAATGTCAAGGGAATTGCCAGTGTTGTGGTTCCGCATCCGCACAACTCAGCTTCCTTGTGAGTCAAAGTCACCCCAACCTGCCAACAAAGAGCAATCTGAGAACAAACCCGAGGTGGCATCCAAACAAAGCGACTCTGTTCCCAGTTCCAGGAAAACATCAGATTGGCATTTTGTGAAAAGGTTGCCCAGCACTGATTTGCATGTTGGAAGCCATCAATAAAGCTGCCAGCATAATGGGCAAAGGTTTTATGTTTGAAATAAAACAATATTTATTTATTTTTTGCATCCATTGAGTCAAGAGGGTAGGAAATAGAGGAACTCCCAACTGCTGGCAGATGCGGAAATTACTTTTTTTGGAAGGAGTGGGAGAAGGGGGCGTGCATAAGCGCACCAACGTGCCTACCGTCCCTGTCCTATTGTTTCTCTTATTCTTCTTTTATTTTTCTTATATGTACCCATTTCATGTATTCACAACTATGTATACACTTATACTTATTATCTTGTAAACAATTGGCAAATCAAATAAATAAAATAAAATAAAAAAATAAAATAAGTAGGAGGGGCTCAGGTATCAGAGGGGAGGGAGAGGCAAGGCAGCATCACACCCCATGTTTTGGGTTCAGACTGAAAGTGAGACATTTCCTCAAAAGCTTCCATTTATATACATATAAATGGAAGCTATTTATATACATATGTACATATGTATGTATGTATATGTGTATGTATGTATGTATGTATGTATGTATGTATGTATGTATGTATATAACAGTGCAACAAAAATCTGGATTTTAGGAGCAAATGTAGACAGGCTAGACATTGTACATAATTTTAGTTTAATTATGCAATTCTTCAAATTTATAGAGCCATCCATCTCACAAAAGGAGGGGGCGGGGGAATGTACACCTTTATTACATTAATAGCAAGTTCGTATTTCAGATGCCCCAAATCCTTGGGCTAGTTCACACGTTGCACCAAGAAATGCATTGTCTTATTTCATTGATTAAACTATAATGCCAATCCGCTCAACCAAAATAAACCAAGTTAGGTCATGATTCCGGGTCATCTGTGGTAGTGGCGATATAGTGCATTCCTGCAGGATTAATTAATTACTTCTTAAGAAGCATGATTAATAGTTGCAGAATTGTCCTCCCCCCCCTCAGCCATTTGGTGTCATAAGTCACAAGCCTACCAGGTCCTTTTATTTAACCCATTAAGTTATAACATGGATCCTTTAAGTCTCTAACAATGTGATGACCCAGGGTGGGATACAAAATAAACAGTCACAAAAAAACAGGTGAAGCCCCTTTTATTCCTTCACTTTGCTTCAAAGCTCCAAATATCCTTGACTGGAGACAAAAAATCTCCCCCACAAGCAGTTACAAAAAGGAGGAAATGCCGTTTAAACTAAAAATGCCTATACATTATAAAGAGTAAAAACAACACAAATCGCACTGAAGCAATTAAGGGAACCACACAGATATCAGAATACACACTGGGAAGAACGCCAAACTCAGAGAGGAACGACAGACTAGAGATATTTCCACACTTTGTTTCCAGCACTGGCCCATATGCATGTCCGTCCTTTTAACCAGTCCTTACAGCTTCAGCCCATGAAGAAGATCAAGGCCCTTTCCTCCCCCATAGTCCACACCATTCATGTCTCTCCCTTATCCTCTCCTCCCTGCGTGTCCTAGGATGGAGAGGGGATAGGCCTGGGTCCTCCTCTGACTGCCCAGCCGGCCTCTGCCCTTCCCCAGCCTCCTCCCCAACCTCCGGAGCCACACCTCCACCCCCTGTCGGCTGTTCCTCCTCTCCCTCTGAGTCAATCTCCAACAGGGGCATGACAAACAAGTTATGAAAACCCACTTAATTAAAAACCATCCTCTGTTGAATGGATGCAGCTAGCCACAATTGCATCATTAACCATGGCTAAATAAAAATTAAAAAATGGCCTAACAAATCGTGTGAATACAAACATGGCCACAATCTTCCAAGCCAACATATGGCTTTTAGTGGGGCCTGATTAATCATTCTCACTATCAGAAATTTTACCCTTCCTTCTATTTCTACTCTTAGCAAGCTTCCACCCATAGCTTCTTATCCTACCCTCAGGTGCTTTGAAGAATAAGTCAACCCCTTCTTCTCTGTGACAGCTAGAAGATAGAATAGAATAACAGAGTTGGAATGGACTTTGGAGGTCTTCTAGTCCAACTTCCTGCTTAGGCAGGAAACCCTTCAGACAAATGATTATCCAACATCTTTTTAAAAACTTCCAGTGTTGAAGCATTCACAACTTCTGAAGGCAAACTGTTCCACTGGTTAATTGTTTTCATTGTCAGGAAATGTCTCCTTAGTTCT